GGCTTTAATTAGAATACATTGTAAAAACAAGGTATTTTGTTCCAAAGTTTATTGAATTATACATCATTTTTCAATGCTTACATTTTTTATTCATATTGTACTGGTTAATATGTTTAACTGTTCTTTAGTTCATTATGGACTTGGCTAATGTTATAAAAATGTGATTGTTATGCTTTCTTAATACTATTGTATTATACCAATAAAATGTTACTGGGAAAAGTATAACCGTTCCTGAATGGGTGTACTTCGTTGTAAGCTGTGGGTTCGGACAGAGAGGCAGTCCCGCGGGCATGATGTAAGATTAGATTAGATCCACCCTGCGAGCACGCTCCTTTCTAATTTGGAATAAAATGCTTATGAAAAAAGGATAACTTCTATTTGTTTAGATTTATTGACAGTCCACCCTTCTCACTTGAGACTCGAGGCAGATTGCAGAGTACAGAAGGAGAGGGGACCGTCATCACGCCCTGACCTGGATAGCCCAGGCTAGCCTGATCTCATCAGGTCTCAGAAGCTAAGCAGGGTCAAGCCCTAGTTAGTACTTGGATCAGATGCCACGAAGGAATACCACGGTCACTACACAGAGGCAGGCGATGGCTAACCACCTCTGAACGTCTCTTGCCTTGAACACCCTATGGGATCACACCATAAGTCAGCCACAACTTGACAGCAGAAAAGAATCGTGTAGTATAGGACGTCAACTGAACAATGCAACGGGAGTATCAAACTGAATAACAGTGCAGCCAACACTGTGGACATAGAGCATAAAATATAACAGGGTTGCCGCCCTCCACGTGGGGCCGGGAGTTCTCCCAGCATTACATTAAATCTCCAGACTACAGAGACCAGTTTGACTATAGAAATCCTTCACTCTCTAGGTCAGTGGTGGCGAACCTATGGCACGGGTGCCAGAGGTGGCACTCAGAGTCATCTCGGTGGGCACGCATGCCATCGCCCCAGCCAGGCCCAGACCATCATTAAAGGGTCGAATTCTCTGCCAAATAGTTTTAAGTAAATGAAAGCATTTGGGATTGCTTTCCTTACTTTGTTTGGGTCATCTTAAGTTAATGTACGATTTGTTTTTTCTAAAGTAAAACCTCAGTATTCAAGTTAAATTATAATGGGTTTTGGGTCGCAGTTTGGGCACTCGGTCTCTAAAAGATTTGCCATCACTGCACGAGGTGAAATCCTTCTGTAATTTCCCCCCACTATAGGCACTGTCTCCAATGCTCCAGGAATTTCTCTGGCTGGAGTTGGCAACCCTACTTAGAACTAGGAATACAAAACTGAGTGCCAATAACAATGCGCCAGGAGCAGAAATACCAAAATAAATGCCAAGTTGGCAGGAAACTGACCAGGCAGGCATAGCACGAGCAATGCACAATGCAGGATTATAAAGATGCAAACAAGGAAGTCCACTGCGGGTGTTTGTACTTCCCAACCCCCATGGAGACTTTTCCCAGATCAGGTGGATCCTTTTTTTGTTGGGGACAGGAGAAAGACCAGGTCCGGAAGCCACCCACAAGCCAAAAGGGCTTGTTCACAGACGCACATTGTAATAGCAGAACAAAGTTTTGCATCCACAGTGGTACCTTTAAGACCAACGAAGTTTTATTCAAGGTATAAGCTTTTTTTTGCTTTTAAAATGTTTATTAAAATCAAATATAACATATAACATGTACAATACCCACATAACATTATACAACAGTTCTGAGAATCCAACATTTCAAACCAGCCAGTTAATCCCCAACAAAGTTGTCCTCAAACATCAACAGATATAAAAGGGTTGGAGCACTTTCCCTATGAGGAAAGGTTAAGGCGCTTCGTGCTCCTTAGCTTGGAGAAACGACGACTGAGGGGTGACATGATTGAGGTTTATAAGATTATGCATGGGAAAGAGCAGGTAGAGAAAGAGGTATTTTTCTCCCTTTCTCACAATACAAGAACTCGTGGGCACTCCATGAAATTGCTGAGCGGTCGGGTTAGAACGGATAAAAGGAAGTACTTCTTCACCCAAAGAGCGATTAACACATGGAATTCACTGCCACAGGAAGTGGTGGCAGCTACAGGCATGGACGGCTTCAAAAGGGAATTAGATAAGCATCTGGAGCAGAGGTCCATCAGTGGCTATGAGCCATAAGGTATAGATAGGAACTCTCGGTCTGGGGCAAGGGATGCTCTGTCTTCTTGGTGCTGGGGGGGGGCAACAGTGGGAGGGCTTCTAGTGTTCTGGCCCCACTGCTGGACCTCCTGATGGCACCTGGTATTTCTGGCCACTGTGTGACACAGAGTGTTGGACTGGATGGGCCTTTGGCCTGATCCAACATTGGCATCTCTAATGTTCTTATGATATAACATATAGCCGCCCTGAGCCCGTACGCGGGGAGGGCGGGGTATAAGTGGAATTAAATAAATAAATAATAAATAAACATAATAACATACTATTTTAGTATCAGATCTGTTCCCATATATAAGAACGACTTTTTTGAACTGTAGATCCCATTTCATGCAGTCAGGTTTAAACGACAACAAATTTGGTGGACCAGAAGAACGCCTGAACTTCTGCAGGAGCGTGGATGCACACAAAAGCTTCTGCCCAGAACGAATTGTTGTTGGTCTTAAAGGTGCCGCTGTGGACTCAAAACGTTTTGTCACCCATCGAAAACAGGCACCACAACGGGCAGCCCTAGCCACCCCCTCAAGCACGCGTGCGCAGACGCTCCCCTCCTCCGCCACCTCCCTTTTCCTTACCCGCTTCTGTTGGGAGTCCACCCAATACGTTCCCCCGGAGCCACTTCCGGTCCCGCCCCCGGCTTGCCCGGCGGGACCCCGATACCGAAGGAGGCCGCACTTGGTGACCAGCAGGCCTTCCGGGCCGCGCCGCAGCCCCGGCCCGCAGACCAGCCGCCCCTTCTGAGGCCCGACCGGAGCGAGACGGAGCCGCTCGCCATCCGCGTCAGGCTGGGCGGGAAGGAGCAACACGTCCCCGGGCATCACCACCTGGCCAACGCGCTTCTCGGCCAAACGCGGCGCGCTCGCCGCCATTATTTGACCCGCCGCCGCTGCCTTCTCATGGGCGGGGCTTAAGCAACTGCGCATGCGCCCCCAGCCCCTTCGACCTCATTGTTGCCGGAAGCTCGCGAACACCCGGACGATCCATAGCGCATGCGTGTAGTACTATCAGGCCCTAAGTGACCCTACTGCTGTTAATAGGATGAACCCCATTGGAAGAACTTCAAACTCTACTAAGGAGAATCATGTAATCCAATTTACAGAGAGAGAAAGAAAGAACAGGGAGAGAATTTTATGTATTTTAAAATGGTAAAGGTTCCCTTGCTCGAAAGCCAGTCGAGTCCGACTCTAGGGTGCTCATCTCCGTTTTAAAGCCGAAGAGCCAGCGCTGTCCGAAGACGTTTCCGTGGTCATGTGGCTGGCATGCCTAAACACCAAGGCGCACAGAATGCTGTTCCCTTCCCACCGAAGTGGTCCCTATTTATCTACTTGCAATTTCTTGCTTTCGAACTGCTAGGTTGTCAGGAGCCGGAACTAGAGATGGGAGCTCACTCCGTCATGCGGCACACTCGGGTCTCGAACTGCTGAACTACCGACCGTCCACAACCTGCAGTTCAGCGTCTTAACCACTTGAGCCACCGCAGCTCCATTTTAAAGAGAGACAAACTAATGTGCACAAACCAGGTTTATATTGAAATAGTGGATTTGTGTATTTTGATTCATGGCTATCAGGCTTAATCAAGACCTGTCACATAGGGCTCCCAGCCTCCAGGTTGTGGCTGGCTGGAGATCTCCCGGGATTACAACTGATCTTCAGGCAACAGTTCCTAGGAGAAAATGGCCACTGTAGAAGGTGGGCTAGAGGGCATTCTACCGCACTGAAGTCCTTCCTCTCCCTAAACCCTTCCCTCCTCAGTCTCTGCCTCCAAAAATCTACAGGTATTTCCCAACCTGGAGGTGGCAATACTAATTCCTGCCTATCAAAACCTGGCTGTTCTTGTTACATGAAAATAAATTCAGTTCCCAGCAAATACATGGAAGGATTGGGGGTTTGGTAGTAAGGGCTGGATTTTTTTGTGGCACAGGATGGCAGTTGTCGACTGAAAGGACTTTTCTTTTTCCTGGCACATTCTGAATGTTACTTTGGGCCATCTTCAGAAGCAAAAGATGCCAGTCCATAAACACTTCAGCTGAATTGTTGTTCTAGCTGCTGTTTATGAAGCTGCTGCATCGCAAAGCGTTGTGACTACAATGTGTTGTGAAAATGTTTGTGTGTGTGTGTGTTACTCTGTACCATCAGAAGGAGTTCTACCCTTAAACTAGGGCAGCTATTTTTGCAAAAGTGTGTGTGGTACATCTGAGTCAGCCAAAAGAGAGAAATAAGGCAGCCAGCTGGGGCCACCCTACCTTAGGGAGGCAGACTTGGTGGAAAGAAGGTAGAGGTTGCCAGCCTCCAGGTGGGGCCTGGAGATCTCCCAGAACGACAGTTGATCTCCAGACAACAGTGATCAGATCCCCTGGAGAAAATGGCTACTTTGAGAGGTGGACTCAATGCATCATATGCTGCTGAGGTCCCTCCCCTCCGCAAACCCCGCCTTCCCCAGGCTCTGCCCCCAAGTCTCCAGGAATCTCCCAACCCAGCGTTGGCAAACATAGGTGTAGGACTCTGCATTCATTCCACAGCACATCTGGATGAGTGCAGCTTTTCCTTCTGCATATGCTCAAGGGCAATTAGTCTATAAGGGCTTTTCAAAAGACTTTCCCTTAGTTATAAATGATACGTTTCATATTGTTACAGCAATAAAAGAACTCTAGGCTGGGCCAGAAACCAGTTTCCATTGTTTCTGTATTTGTGTGTGTGGGGGGGGAGTTGTTCTGGAAAGTTTACATATCAATCTGGCACACTACAGACTCAAACCACTGGACAGCACAGCCCAAGGCTGCTTATTCCACTGCTAAGAAATCTTCACCCAGAGGTCTTTCTCTGTAGGAGAGCCTTTCAACCGGAGTTGCTGTGGATTTAACTTGGGGATTTCTGCAGGCAAATCATGTGCTACCATTTTGCTCTCCTCCCAGTCTATCACGTACCTTGAGCAAACTCAATATTATCATGTTAAACACTATTAAGTCACATAGATTTCAAAATGCAGTACTGCCTACAACTTAAACTATACATTCCTGTAATAAAAATAAGCTATGCACGGACGGCTCAGTCCCAGAGTGGACACAAGCCCACTTGCTCCATCAAATATTTTAAATTATTTTTGTAAATATTAATAACTGCCTTAACTTCAGCTTTCTAGTTTAGCAGAGATACAGATTAGGGACTTGTCTGTTCCTGGTTTATTAAGCTGCAGCGACACCATCTGGTTGACAGTGGAAAAACAAAATATATGCATCTACCATCAAGCCAGTCTTATATTCACAAGGGGCACTGAACTTCAGTCCCCGCTTGCTGACTGTATTGCCTGTGCAGTGCTACGCAAATTGCACTGGCTCCCAATTGGGGGCGGGGGGGCGGGGAGACAACAGTGGGAGGGCTACTAGTGTCCTGGCCCCACTGCTGGACCTCCTGATGGCACCTGGCATTTTTGGCCACTGTGTGACACAAGAGTGTGGGACTGGATGGGCCATTGGCCTGATCCAACGTTGGCTTCTCTTATGTTCTTATGTACCGGATCCATTTCAAGGTGTTGTTACTGACCTTCAAAGGGGGCGGTGGCACAGGCAGTTAAATGCCTGTAGAAATAGTCATCTCAAACAGCTGTAACAGCGGTTCGAATACCACCGTGGTCGGGGTGAGCTCCCGACCCTTGCCCCAGCTCCTGCCAACCCAGCAGTCCGAAAGCCCCTCGGGGCAATTAGGTAAATGGGTACCTGTCTGTAGGAGGACAGGGGGGTACCCCTCCCTCGAAATTGGGCTCCAGCCGAGCGAGGCATCGAGAAGCGGTGGCAACATGGCGGCGGTCAGCACGGAGGAGATGAAGAGAGGCAGCGACATCCCAAGGAGGCGGTTGGCTCGGCAGCTGATGACGTGGCCAGCAGGAGGACGTCCGGAGCCGTAAGGACGTTGTGACACCCACCGCGGCTGCGCACCAGGGCCCATAACCAACAGCCCCCGAGAGGAGTCGCCAGAGAGCCGAAAGAACAGCGGAGGCTGCAGAAGACGCACCGGAGAAAAACTGGAAGAAGCCACCCACTCGCCGGACAAAACGAACGATCGGAGCCGGGAGGGTACCTGGTAGGGCTCCCCCCACCCCAGACGTACTGTGGCCATAGTTAGGGTTTCTGCATAGGTCTCTGCACCATGCACCGTGTAAGCCGCTCAGAGCCCTTCGGGGGTGAGCGGGGTACAAATAGAAAGTATATATAAATAAAGCCCTGTGCGGGACCAACATATCTGAGGGACCGCTTTCCCCCATATGTGAGAGCTTTGCGCTCAGTGGACCAACATTTACTGGTTGTCCCTGGCCCAAAGTACATCTTGTTAGTCTCAACCAGCGCCAGGGCTTTCTCCGCCCTGGCCTGGTGGAACATGGTCCCTCTGGAGATCAGGGTCCTGCTGGACCTATTACTGTTCTGCAGGGCCTGTAAAACGGAGCTTATTCCACTGGGCCTTTGTGTGAGGCAGTGGGCATCCAATTATTTCATCTACTGGCCTCCCTCGCTGAAGCCTCCATCTTTGTACAGTCTGGTTTACGGCCTACTGGCTCCAGTTTTCGAGACTACTGTATTGAACTGCAGTGCTATCGATCCTTAGCTCATCGTTTTTGTTTTTGACTGTTTTAACTTTTTTTTTTAATGTTTTAATGCCTATTGTGGACTTTTTGTGATCTGCTCTGAGCCCGCTCACGAGGAGGGCGGGACACAAGCCAAAATTAATAAATAAACTGTACATTATAGACAACATTCCAAAAGGTTTTCAGTGTAATGAAGGGGGCGTTGGGGAGAAATCTTTTCTGTCTTTTATACTTGGTTTTATATAATCATCTGTGGCCCTGGTCACACGGCAAAGTTGCCGCGGGAGAGGCATGGAAGGTGGGCGGATTATCCGGGCGCGATCACACCCCAACATCTGGGAAGTGGAGCGCACCCGTGGCTTATCGCTGACAATACGCATTTAAAAACTAGTACCTCGAAGGTACTAGTAAACGTTTGCCACGGGCTGCCTCCAGACGCCCGTGGTGTGATCCCGCCGGCGCGCGGCATTCCCCTCCGGTCCCTCGTTTACCTGCTGGCGCCGAGGGAAGGACCCGTGGTGTGCCGCCAGCCAATGTTCCCTCTAAGCTGTGGAGTCTTGTAAGCAAAAATTCTACTTTGTGAGCTACTGGCATTAAAGCTGTGAGCGAGTGATTTGGCTGCTGCATAGATTAGTTTGCTCTGCAGCCAGAGGGTAAAAAACTGTGAGCTAGCTGACACTAACTCAGCTTAGAGGGAACACTGATTGTGACAGGATTTGTATAGTCATCTGGAGCATCACCGTGGGTTTGCGTATCGTCTTCATTCTCACTTTCTTCTGAATGGTCCGATTGGTCTTCTCCTTCATCGTCTGAAGTCTGCTGAAGATCTTCCTCTGGAACAGGCTCGGTCAGGGCTTCCCGGAGACTTACAGCATCATTTATCCCCTGAAGCGTCTCCTGCAGTTCATCCTTTGCAGTGTGCAATTCAGCCGGATCCAGTATGCCTTTGATGACCTCTCGCTCGAATTCAGCTGTTTCATTTTCTTCTGGAAGGTTCCCATCTTTCCCTTCAGTCCTTTTCTATCAGTGGAAAGAAATGCATACATCTGAGCACGCCACTCCAAAAACGTTCCTTTTTCTTTTGAAATTGTGTTTGGCTATGGGTGACTTAATAAACGCTTGTAGGATAACGCAGCTATTGCCAAGATAAAGCGGAAAGTCGGCACAAAAAGAAAATCACACCCAAGTAGCGTACCAGCCACATCTTATTTCATAAACAATAATACAGTTAGTATAGGTCCCTTCCTGAGCAAAGACACAAATGTGTGAGCCGGAGGCTAAAAAACTGTGAGCTCACACTAACTCAGCCCGTCTG